GAAGAGAAAAAAAAGAGAGAGAGAGAGAGAGAGAGAGAGAGAAAGGGAGATAAAAAACAAGATCCAGTCAATAAATCCATTCAACAGATGTTTTCACACTGCAGCCAGGGCCTGTCTGCCCAGCTAAGGAGGAGGTGATGGCAGGAGGCCTGTCAGTTTGAACTGATTGAAAGAAACATACCTTTAACCTCAAGAGTAACATTGACTTAGACTCATTTCCTACCTTGATACCAACGTTATGAATACAGCCCCAGAACTGTTGCAACTCAAAGCGGGAGAACAATTCAACTGCTTTCAAACTGCCAAGGAGGCTCAATTCTAAAAATTCTATCCTGAATTAATTTTAGTAATATTGTTAAAGAAATTTATGGGCACCTCTAAAATGTACCAATCAATAGTTATATTTTGACACCTTTCAGTTTTCATAAAATGGTGTAGAACAATAAATGTTTCATGATTTCTTTGCTATAATCTCAATATGATAAAATTATTTGTTTCTTTTATAGAATATTAACTATATTCTCAGTGATTTAACAATGTTGTTATTTTTCATACTTCTCAAGTTATTGAATAAAAGAACCACAGTCTGGAAACTTCTGGAAGATTCACTAAGTCTATTCTTCTGTTTCCAAGAAAGACAATCTCTAAAACACAGATAGTCAGCTAATTTAATCATCAGTACTACCCAGTGAATATTTTCTGTCTTCAACATCAGGGAATTCATAACCTTTATGTTTTTTATATATCTTTCCTAATGAACATGGAAAATAGCTGAACAGTGTTACAAAACATGATGATCACATGCCATTGATAAGGAAACTGATGCTAAAAGGGTTAATAAAGTCTTTTAAATTATAAGCCTAACTCTTATAGATATAAAACTTTGCATGCTCTTTTGCTTTAATATACCTTGCTAGCATTTACTCTTTCAAGACTTGAAGGGGGATATAAAATCAACACACAAAAATCAGTAGCATTTCTATACTCCAACAGTGAGGATGAAGAAAAAGAAATCAAGAGAGCTATCCCATTTACAATAGCCACCAAAAAATAAAATAAAATAGGAATAAAGTTAACCAAAGATGTGAAAAATCTCTACAAAGAGAACTACAGACCACTGTTGAGAGAAATTAAAGAGGACACAAGAAGATGGAAAGGTATCCCATGCTCTTGAATTGGAAGAATTAACATTGTGAAAATGTTCAGATTACCCAAAGTGATCTACAGATTCAATGCAATCCCCATCAAAATTCCAATAACGTTTTTCTCTGAAATGGGAAAAAAAAAACTATCCAGAATTTATATGGAATAAGAAAAGGCCACAAATAGCCAAAGCAATCCTGAGCAAAAAAGAAAGCTGGAGGCATAACAATACCTGACTTTAAACTATACTACAAAGCTATAATAACCAAAACAGCATGGTACTGGCATAAAAACAGACACATGGATCAATGGAATAGAACAGAGAACCCAGAAATCAACCCATACACCTACAGCCATCTGATCTTTGACAAAGGTACCAAGTCTCTACACTGGGGCTACCTCTTCAGCAAATGGTGTTACAAAACTTGGATATTCATATGTAGGAGAATGAAACAAGACCCATACCTCTCAACATAAACCAAAATCAACTCAAAATGGATTAAAGAATTAAATATACATCCTGAAACAATAAAACTCCTGAATAAAGAAAACATAAGGGAAACACTCCAGGGAGTAGGATTGGGTACAGACTTCATGAATATGACCCCAAAAGCACAAGAAACCAAAGGAAAGATAAACAATGGGATTATTTCAAACTAAAAAGCTTCTGTACAGTAAAAGAAACAATCAAAAGAGTGAAAAGACAACCAACAGAGTAGTAAAAAATATTTGCAAAATATACACCTGACAAAGGATTAATATCCAGAATATACAAGGAACTCAAACAACTTTACAACAATAAAACAAATAACACAATTAAAAAAATGGGCAAAGGAGCTGAATAGGTATTTCTCAAAGGAAGATATACGAATGGCCAATAGACACATGAAAAAATGCTCAACATCACTCAGCATTCAGGAAATGCTAATCAAAACCACTTTGAGATACCACCTCACTCCAGTTAGGATTGCTAATATCCAAAAGACTGAGAATAATAAATACTGAGGTGAGATTGTGGAGAAAAAGGAACTCTCATACACTGTTGGTGGGACTGCAAAATGGTGCAGCCTTTATGGAAAATGGTATGAAGGTTCCTCAAACAATTACAGATAGATCTACCATATGACCCAGCTATTCCACTGCTGGGAATATACCCAGAGGAATGGAAATTATCATGTCAAAGGTATACGTGTACTCCAATTTTTATTGCAGCACTATTTACAATAGCCAAAAGTTGGACCCAGCCAAAATGTCCATCATGAGATGAGTGGATGAGGAAACTGTGGTATATCTACACAATGGAATTCTACTCGGCTATAAAAAAGAATGAAATACTACCATTCACAACAACATGGATGGACTTATAATAAATTATATTAAGTGAAACAAGTCAAGCATAGAAAGGGAAATACCACATGTTCTCACTTATTTATGGGATCTATAAATAAATAAATAAATATACAAACAAATAAATGGTGTGGGTGGAAGAAGACATAACAATCACAACAATTCCTTGAACTTAAGACAAGTGAACAGATATGATGTAGATGGAGGGGGGATGGGAGAGAGGGAGGAGGGAAGAGCAATGGGTAAAGGGACATGAAAATCAACTAGAATGTCTATTGAGAAGTTAAAATAAAATAAAGACTTGATTCAAACATCACCTCTCCTTAATGGGGTCTGGCCTTCACCTTCCAAATAGGTTGGGTGTTCCACTGGCAACCAGCATATGCCATTATATGTCATACTTACCTTGCTTTTCTGGCACGAGATTTGGTACATTCTATGTGTACAAATTATTCACTTAGTGAGAAAGTTAACAAACCTACATATAACACAACTGTACTCAATACACATTATATGGTTATTATGTAATTCTAGCTTTCTCTGTATATTATATGAATTAATGCTATATATAAATATAAGTTATGGTTGTGAATATACAGTGGCCTCTCAATATCCACAGGAAATTGGTCCATGACTCCTGCAGATACCAAAATTCATGGATGCTTTAAGTCCCTGATAATAAAAAGGTGTTGTGTTTGCATATAACCTATACACAGCTTCCCGTATATTTTAGAAGCCCTTTATTTATAATACCTAATCCTTGTAAGTACGATGTAAAACGTTGTTATACTGTATTTTTCCTTGCATTATTTTTATTCTTGTATTATTTTTACTTATTTGTTTATTTTCCCTTATATTTTTGATCCACGGTTGGTTGAATCTTTGTATGTGGAACCTGCGTATAGAGAGGTCTGACCATCTATTTAGTTACAGACCACACAGAGAGATTCCCCAATTTAGGAAAAAAAATTAGAATCATTTAGAATTAACTTTAAAATAGGTTATCAGTTAATGTATATGTTTTCACTTCTGTTTTGCTCTGCATAATAATCAAACCAACAATTAGTTGGAGGCATTTCTCACATACTCAGGCTTTGGGCATTTGCTTTGATGGCTGGAATGGCTTGGTCAATGATCGAGTTCTAGTTATAATAGTTTTATCACTTTTACAAGAGTCTAACTCTCTTGTTTTCTTGAGTTGTCTCCATATTCAATGCCCTGGGGGTATTGCAGTAAAACTGACATAGTCTCTCTTTTTATGGCACTTACAATCCTGTGGAATACAAATAAAGTCGTTCCTCGGTGTCCGCAGGGGATTGGGTCCAGGACCCCATGAAGACACCAAAATCCTCAGATACTCAAGTCCCTTATATGAAACTTATATTTGCACACAACCTACACACATCCTGTTGTATACCTTAAGAATCATTTTAAGTTAACTTAAAATTAATTAAAAATTAATTTAAAATCTTATTCTCATCTCTGGATTATTTATAATACCTAATGCAATATAAATCCTATATAAATAATTGTCATACTGTATTATTTAGGGAATGATGACAAGCAGAAAAGTCTGTACATGTTCAAGACAGATGCAACCATCCATTTTTTGTTTTGAATATTTTCCATCTGCAGTTGGTTGAATGCACAGATATGGAACCTGCAGATATGGAACCCACAGATATGGAGGGCCAACTGTATATACAGTAATTACAAATTGGGTGGTTTGCTATTGGGGAAAGGAAGCTTTTCTGCATATGATCTTAAAGTCATCGGTAAATTTTTACCTGAATATCTGCAATATCCATCTCTTCTCTTTCTTCTTTCTGTAACCTCTTTAACTCTCATCTAAACCAATGCAAAGTGCTCCTAATTGATCACCCTACTTCTAATACCAACAAGTCTTACTCCCTCCTGTAAGAATTCTCTTCCTAAATGCTGCTGCAAGCAGGAATTTGACACAAAAGTCTCCGAAGGTCAATCCAAGTTTATAGAAGTCAGCCTGTCATTTGCACTCTCTTTTTCATGAGACCACTCTACTTACTGTCTTAGATCTTCTTTTCCTTTTCTAGGTTCTAGTCAAAATGCTACCTACTGTACAACAAATGTCATCCTCAGGGCTGTGTTATGACTTTCACAGGCCCTGTACAGTTTTATCTTATCAGACCCTTCCTTCGTAAAAACATATTTAAAATTACATTGAATTCATTATTATATATTTATTATTATTATATTCATTCTTTCTTCTGATCAAGAAATTAAAATTTAAAATATTTTGTGGCCTCCCTTAAAAGTGTCATGGTTTCTGAACACTATGCTGTGTCTAATGGATACATTGACCCTGACCATTCCCACTTCTACAAGTCTGTAGTTTCTATATCACCCCTTTACATGTGCCTATGAAACTCCACATTCAGCATTCACACACATTCCCTAAGGTCCATTCCAAGTTTTACACAGAGCCTTTTTGAGCACTCACAGTAAATGTGCTTTCCCCTTCCACTACATCCCCATCACTCTTAGTTTTTCTCTTTCCTTTTCCCTGCCATAGTCTTTTACATATTAGAGCTACTTTAGCCCAATTAAAGAGTCATGACACGGGCTGAAGTTCTCACTTTCTCCTGCAGCTTCTTGATTACTCATGAATCTTCAAGGATAACTCCTTAGCACAAAATTTTCCCCTTCTTGGGAACAGCCACAAATAAGGGCATGGGATATGAGAGGTCATGTCTGTACATGACCCTGTTTGTTCACAAGGAATAGCTATTTCTTGAGCTTGTACTCTGTTTCAGACACTTTGCCAGCATGTTGAGCCTTTTTATCTTTATTATCTAATGAAGAGACAGATACTAAATACTTACAATATAATTATAAATGAGTGCTGTATAGGAAAAATTCAGAATGCTATGAAAAACTATAAAGAAGAACATGATGAAGAGGTTCAGAAGACTTTCCTCTAAGAAAATGATATTTAATTTGAAATGTGAACTTGCAATTAGCAAGGTGAAGAGTAGGGGGAAGCTCTAGATACATTTTGATGTATGTGCATGCACGTGTGTGTGTGTGTGTGTGTGTGTGTTAAGTGATCTTTTTTTGTATAATATTGAAAACATTTTTAACCAGGAACTGGATATAATTCATCTATTAACTTATTTTCTGCTGCATTTTATATCTTTCCTATGCTTTCTAGAAGCTAAATAATTATTTGTGCAATAAGAATACGCAATAGATATTTGGAGGCTAACTGCCATTTTTTTTCCAATAATGTAATCACGTTTTAAGATGACTGGGGTTACTAAATATATTATCTGTTAATGACTAGTTTAATACTTTAATGACTCCATGTAAATTACATTACCTATCACCTTCCTTTTTTTTAAGTAGTGCATATTTATTGCTTTACTTGGGCATCACAGAAACTCTGTAAGATAACAGAGTAACAATTAGTTAACTCATAAGCATGATATAAATGTTACATCTTAATACAAACTTAATAATCTGGCAATCTTACTTATCCAGTGTTTACAATTAGGAATATAGCAACATATGTAACAGACAAATAATTATTCATTCATTAGTAGTTATTTATTCATCACACAAAAGTTTTCTTCCAATATCTATTGTGCAAGCAAAAGGCAACAGAGCTTGTGCTGGGTGGGAGAGACAGCAAAGTGAATTAAATATAGCTCTGATCTTGTGGGTTGACATCTAAAATTTAAGCACATTATACTAAGTAAATTCCATGGGGATATAAGCTTTGCCTATTATTTATTCTCATGCCTACATTTCCCATGCTGTGTTTCACACATAGCAGGTGTTAATAAATATATGTTGAATAAATAAATGAAAAAGATATATAGTTATCCTTAAGATCTTATCATAAGGATAAGATAAAAAAAGAAAGCATATGGGGCCGGCCCGGTGGCGCACTGCTACAGGGCGCCGCTTGGGAAGCGTGGCGGCGCTCCCGCCGAGGGTTCAGATCCCACATACAGACTGGCAGCTCACTGGCTGAGCGAGGAGCGGGGGCAACACCGAGGGTTGCGATCCCGTGGCCGGTCATGAAAAAAGACAAAAAGACAAAAAAAAAAAAAAAAAAAAAAAAAAGAAAGCATATTATAAGCAATCGAAACACAAAAGAATCAAGGAGGGGATGAGAAAAATATGAGAAATAGAATCCAGACAAAACAATCAGCAAAGAACAATACCCTGAAATTAGTTGATGTTGGAGCCAAGAGATAAAAGAAAAGTTCTGGTGATTTGAGAATTATTTTTCCTTTGTACTTTTATGTAGTTTCCAAGTTTTCCGTATGTCACCTACATTAAAACTTTAATTAAGTAAAGTGTTAAATGTATTTAAACTAAACAGTTGAAACTTTCAAACACTTCATTAGGACAGATTCATAATCATTGGACCCAAGAGCAGTCACAGGTCAAATATTTTTGAACTTTCTTCCAAAATAGGACTATAAAAGAGAGAAAAGTTTAATCACTTTCAAAGAGTTGACAGGAATTATGCACTTTTACAAATGATGTGTGGCTTTTAATATGTATAGGGAGAGTTATGACAATCTGGCAAGCAACACATTATGGTACATATTAGTCACCAGTTTTATTTCAGATGGGTATCCCTCCTCATCAATAAAATACAGCCTTCTTTAGGTTCAAAACTGAGATTACATTTTTCTGTTGTATCTGCAATTTATTAAAGTGTTTCATTAAAACTTTTTTTTTCTATTAACAATTTTAACGAAAGAATTTTATCCATGGTTATTTTTCATACTTCTAAGTATGAGACTGCATGTTTCTTTCTTGTCTAATTAGTAAATTAAAATGTCAAACAGTTCAGAACTTATTATTAAAAATTGGATGGATACCCAAATTAACATTTTATTTACTGAGCACCATTGGAAAATGTGCCATGCCCCTTAAGTGAATAATAAACATGCTCCCTTCCCCACAAAAAAGCATTTTTTGACTAAAATATCTTTTAAATATGCTATGTTGAGACTATTTCTTACACATATATTAGTTCTTTCTTTTTTCAGGTGATTTAATTGGGGACTTTGTTTTGATTGCTTACTTTGTGAAACTGTCTTTCAAGATAATTTTCCCAGCTTACTGAGATGGGTAAGACAATTTTTTCGTATATGGAGTGGTCTAAGGCCACTGCGCCTGAACATCATCTGTCCCCTCCCATTGATAAAAGCTGCCAAACTTGCAGACAATAAACATATTTCTTCAAAATTGAATTATAAAATAATTATGAAATAGAACACTACATTAAAGCAAGTTTCAACAAACTTTTAAAAAGTGATTTCTACCATGATTGCTATTCATCCTTTAAAAGGAAGGAAATTCTGACACATGCTACAATATGGATGAACCCTGAAGACATTATGCTAAGTGAAATAAGCCAGTCAAAAAAGACAAGTACTGTAGGATTTCACTTATATGAGATACTTGGAGAAATTGAATTCACAGAGACAGCAAGTATAATGGTGTTTATGGTGGGGAGGAGGAAAGAATGGGGAGACAGTGTTTAATAGGCTCAGAGTTTCAATTTGGAAAGATTTTAAAAGTTCTGGAGATGGATGGTGGTGATAGTTGCACAACAATGTGAATACTTAATGCCATTGAACATATGCTTACATGGGGTTAAAATAGTAAAATTCATATCATGTATGTTTTACAAAACAGAAAGAGGATTTATTTTCATACAGATAATGATACATGATACTACAATGAACACATTATTGTCAGAGAAATCCATTATAAAAAAAATAGCCAAATATCTGAAAATTTAAAAACACACACTTAAATAACTCAAATACCAAATAAAATATCATAATATAAATGATTAGAATCAAAAAATGATAAAAAGTAATGTATTTGAAAACTGGAAGGATGCTGCTATAATTGTGGATTATGTATGTATCCTTAAATACATCTTGTGAAATGAGAAAGGCCAAATATTAATAAACTAAGCATAAAATTATGAAATAAAATTTTAAATATATTTTTATAGAAATATTCAAGATTATATGAGTAAAGACAGGAAAAATATCATAAAAACTTGTATGGATAAAATTTAAAACTTTATCAAGAAACATTAAAGTAGATCTAAGTAGATGAAAAGATACACTATTTCTGTGATAGAAAAACTCAATAGCTACTTGTTTTTCTATGTTGATTTTGTATCCTGCAACTTTACTGAATTGATCAGTTCAAAGAGTTTTTTGGTGGAGTCTTTAGATTTTTCTCTATATAAGATCGTGTCATCTGCAAACAGGGAAAATTTGACTTCTTTTCCAGTTTGGATGCCCTTTATTTCCATGTCTTGCCAAATTGCTCTGACTAGGATTTCCAGTACTACATGGAATGAGTAATGAAAGTGTGCATTCTTACTGTGTTTCTGTTCTTAGAGGAAAAGTGTTCAGTGTGATGTCAGCTATGGGTTTGTCATTTATGGCCTTTATTGTGTTGTGGTACTTTTTTTTCTCTACCTAATCTGTTGAAAGTTTTTATCATGAAGAAATGTTGAATTTTATCAAATGCTTTTTCTGCATCTATTAAGATGATTACATGGTTTTTATCCTTCATTTTGTTGCATCTACAGCCAACCGATTTTTGACAAAGGCACCAAAAATATACACTGGGGAAAAGACAGCCTCTTCAATAAATGATTTTGGGAAATCTGGATCTCCACATGCCAAATACTGAAGTTAGACCCTTATCTCTCACCTTATATCAAAATCAACGCAAAATGGGTAAGGCCTAGGGCCGGCCCGGTGGCGCACTGCTACAG